CAATTCTCCACCTCTGTCTGGGACATTTTCTACTATTCTGTGAACAGGTTTTTTTATGTCAATTGTACTTTCTCCTGTTTTTTCATGGACTCCTATCAGTCTTACATTATTTTTCTTTGCATCATCTAGCAGCTGCTGGATTGATTTCTTGTGGTCCCTTACTACTTTGAAGAGATCTCTGTTTTCATGGTCCTTAACTGAAATCTTGTCTTCTATATTTGATATTCTATCTTCAGATTCCCTTAATCTCCTGAATATCTGTTTGAATCTGTTTCATGGATTCTATTTCTTACGTTGGGCAATCATGGTTTCCATTTCTTTCTTATGCTGGACATTCGTGGCTTCCAGCATGTTTCTGAGCTCATCTATTTTTTTAATGTTTCTGTTCTAGAGCCTCTTATCATGTCTTTCACTCTGCTCACCATCTCTGTAGTTATCAGGGAAATTATTTCTGTTTTAAATGTTTCTAGAGCCTCATTCATCTGTTTTGTTACTTCCTGTGCTATCAGTTCAGGGTGTCCAAGTGGTTGATTATCAGACTCTACCACCTGGTTTCCCCCAGAATTTGCCTTTTGTGGGGTGGAAGTATGAATTTGTGCCTTACTTAGATGTCTTCTCATTTTTGTTTTTGGTACTGTCCTTGGTTTAGTTCCTGGGTTGATACTTTCAAATTGTTTATTGTAAATATCTTTGTTGATGTATTTAGAACACTTATGGAGTGGTTGCTTCTCATAGGTCTCTTCCAGATACAGCTTGTCTTTAGGTTTTGATTCTCTAATGGCTCTGAATCTGTCTCATTTTCATTATACCAGGAAGGGCAACTGATTAGATCAATCACAACACCTTAGCCCAAGTGATACAATCAGCAACACAATAGCATCAAGTACCTCTTAGAAAATGAGAATTTGTGGTAGTTATTAATCTATCACCTTTAACTGTGTGAATTAAATTAAAATCAAGGACCAATGCAACATATGTTTATAGTGAATAAACTCTTCAATATAGCAACTTTACCCTTGGAATGGGGAGTTGGAAGGTGTTGGGGAGGGAGGGTTAGGTAAGAAGGATAGGGGAAGGTTATCAGTGAGGCTAGAGGGCACAGGCAAAATAAGGAAAAAAAGAAAAGAAAGATAAAGAAGAAATCTGAATTAGGGGCAGAACAGGAACACAAAGGGAGATGAAGAACAATGTGAGGCAGCAGGGGAGCAAGGCACAGAGAGAGAGAGAGAGAAGAAGGAGAGAAAAGAAAGAATAAAGAGAAAAATAAAAATTTTAACAGAGGAAGAAAAAAATTAAAAATAAGCAAAAAAGTAATTTTGAAAATAACAAAAGATAAAAATGAAGGGCCTCCTTCAGGGTATGTCTCTGCTGTCACAGTAGACAACGTGGGCAGCATTGTGCAGTTATAAGTCAGTGAGTCTCAGTAAGCCAGTCATAGACTTGTGAGATTCAGGCAGATTTCTGGCTGCAAGTCCCAAGTTGAGCTCCCTGACCTCTTGCAGGGTTGAACTCTGCAAGGTTCCACTGCTGGTTGCAGCTGCCTTTCCCCTGAAGATAGTCTGGGTTCTGATGGGAGGTGATGATCCCTCCAACTTACCAAGCATGGTGGTCTGGTGTGCCTTTATTGCAGAGATTCTCTTCACTTTTCCAATGGGCTTCAGTTTTCATCAGGGAGCCTGAGAGAGGTCCTCTCTGTTGTTCACTTCTGCAGCTCAGGACAATGTCCTTTATGCTCCCCTGTGCCTCAGTTCGGTCTCCTGGTCGCAAGTGGGCAGAGCGAGCCTGACTCCTTAAATGTTATTTCTTTAAGGTAGGCTTTATATTTAGTTTTGGTATGAGGTCTGTTTAAAGGGTATTGTAGAAAATAAAATGTTAAGATATTGCAATGTTCAGATGTAAAGATCTGGCAATGTTAGACTGTTTTAATAGTTTAAGATATAATAAATTGCAGTTTTTTAAAGTATAAAATTTAATGGTTGAGTTTTTTGTTTTGTTTTGTTTTTTGTTTTTGGCTTTTTGAGTCTCACTACGTAGCCTGGGCTGGCCCTGAACTTGTGGCAGTCCTCCTGCGTGTTGGGATTACAGTCATGTGCTACCACGCTCAGCTAAAATTCGTTTGAAATCTATACATCTCTGGAACCATCATCATAATCAAGATAGCATAGCCTGTCAGGCACAAAGTTTCCTCAGACCCCTTTATAATTTCTACTTCTGATTCTTTTGTGCCCCTTTTTCACATCAGGACAGCATTCAGTCTGCCTTCTGTCATCATAGATTAGTTTACATTTTCTACAATTTGCTATAGGTGGGAGTCATGAAATACTTCTTTTGGTCTGAATTCTTTCTCTTTGAATTAATTTGAGGTTGATCCAGTTTTCACGTACTAATAGTTCATTACTCTTCTCTGGATATATTACAGTTTGTTTATTAGTTTGTTGATCATATTCCAGTTTAGGTTATTGATATGAACATTTATGTCATACAAGTCTTTGTATTGACTTGTTTTTCTTTTGCAGTAATAACTAGGTGTGCAATGGCTAGGTATGTTTAACCTTTAAGAAACTGCCAGCTGCTCTCCCAAGTGCATGCTTGGTTAACTATAAGTGTTCTATAGGCTCTGTATCCTTGCTCATTCTTTTTTTTTTGTACCGGGGATAGAACTCGGGTCCTTGTGCTCCTTGCTCATTCTTAATACAGCTAAGCTTTTTAATTTTCTCTGACAGACTCTTTTAATAAGGAAAGACTTTCCTGGTGGAATTAATGACTCCTCATTTTGCTTTTAAGGTGCTGCAAAAATAATATTTTATGTATGAAAAGATTTTAGGCATTGCCTTATTGGTTTATTTAAACTTTTCTTATTTTTGGTAGTATTTGCTCATTAGTGCTGATTTGAAACGCAATCTGTAAGAATCAATACATTTTTTTCCTTTTTACTTACACGTTTTCCTTTTTTGTTCCAGCGGCCCCTTTGTTGCTTTATGCAAACAGACGGGACTTGCGGTTGGTGGATGCTACAAATGGCAAAGAGAATGCTACAATAGTAGTTGGAGGATTGGAGGACGCAGCTGCAGTGGACTTTGTGTTTGGTCATGGCTTGATCTACTGGAGTGACGTCAGCGAAGAAGCTATTAAGCGAACAGAATTTAATAAAACTGAGAGTGTTCAGAATGTTGTTGTTTCTGGATTATTGTCCCCTGATGGACTGGCATGCGATTGGCTTGGAGAAAAATTATACTGGACAGATTCAGAAACTAATCGGATTGAAGTTTCTAATTTAGATGGATCTCTACGAAAAGTTTTGTTTTGGCAAGAGTTGGATCAACCCAGAGCTATTGCCTTAGATCCTTCAAGTGGGTAAGTTTTTGTTTAATATATGAAGGCCATTGTATCTCTTTCTCCTTGCTTCTCTCCACTGGCACATATGCTCCTCACTACCAAGAGAAAAGGCAGGAATTTAAAATTTTTCAGGTTTCCTTGTCAAGTAGTTTTTTTTTAGTGCTGAGATTGAAACTGGGCCTCACACATGCTTGGCAAGTGCCCTCCCACTCATCTACAGCACATTCTCAACCAAATGGATGTACCTTAAGATTGTACTTTTAAGTAAATCGGACACACATGTTTACATATCACATTGTTTTTCTGGTGTGAGAAACTGAAAGAGTAAATAAGGACCAAAGTCTATGATAGATATTGGGAAATAGGAAGAAAATGTTTAAATGGGAAGGGGAACAAGGTGGGGGGGGAGGGAAAAGGAAAAAAAAATAGAAGAAAGAAATGGAAACCAAGCTTTTTTAAATAAGGAGAGGGGTTGAAGGGAGGGAAAGGAAATGGAGAAAAAAGAATGAAGATGTTATGTACAGGTAACAAATTCACTGTAATGAATGTGATCATTATGTATATCTAAAATGTATCAATAAAATTTTACAAAACACTGCTGAGCTATATACCCAGTTTTGTCAAGTAGCTTTGAATATGGAAATTTATATTCTTAAAGTAAGAGGTTCTCTAAATGGTATTGTGTTTTTAATAGCAGTTGTGGAACAGCTATATTTATATAGGTCTTGGTTTTCTTCTGGATTTTTTTTTGTAATTATGAGAATATAATTAGAAGGGAGAGAAATAATCAAGACTTAAAAGGAATAGTGTTTGTGATAGCTCAAGTCTTCCAAATCTTATAACTGTTAAATACATAATGAAGGATTGAACCCAGGGTATTCTGCTAGTAAGCTACATTGCCAGCCTTTTTAATATTTTGATACTCAGTCTCACTGAGCTGCTGTGGCTGACCTTGAACGTGTGATTCTTCTGCCTCAGTGTCCTGAGTAGCAGGGATTGTGGGCATGTTCCCTCACACCTGGCTCATGTCTTTTATGTTAAACCTGAAATATTACTTAATATGTCAGTATTGAATAAAAAATTAAGTTATTAGCTAATTTCTAGTCAGCTAAACATATTTACAGTAAAATTATATTTTCTAAAGAGAAAGGAAACTTAAACTGGAACAATCTCATACAAAATGTGAACTGTGTCCCTGCATTGCCTCTGTTGCTCTGCCTTAGTCTTACTATGCAGCCTTCCTGATTACTGTACCTCAGACTTACTATATACCATTCCTTGATACTTCTCTACTGAAAAAGTTGTCAGGCTTGAGTCTGTTATGGCTCAGTGTAAGTAACTAACACGAACCTGAAATGACTTACTAATATTTGGTTAAAGTTCAGAGATAACCTGTGAATAACTATGTAATCTTTTTTCCTCTGACTTTTAAGTAATGTTGGAAAGCTTGAACATTTACTTTGTTTATAGAAGAGAATGGCTTAATTTTATGTGATAAAATGGAACTTGGGGAAAAATGAAAGATTTGTATGTGTTCCTTTGTCTTGGTATCAGGCCTGCCTGATTTAGTGACAGAGGTTAAAGATGATGCCCTGTTGTGGGCAAATGAGTACATTTCTTTGGCTGCGAAGGATGATAACATGGGCAGTAACACAGTGAAATTCCAGGGTTAGATGTTCTGGAAAGCCACAGGGATATATTCATTGATTTTAAGGTGGAATATGAGAGTATCTGTGGACGTCAGATGGTACTCTGATAAAGCCTCAGACAGTGTAGTAGTGGCTGTGGTGGTAGGAAAAAGGGAGGGTCTCCTGAGGAGGCAGTCTTAGAGGCTGTGTGTACAGTAAACTGTTCTGATCAAAGAATTTAAGTTATGTTTGAGAATTGGACTTTGTGTTTTGTTAACAGTTTGTAAGTTTTAGGAAATGTTGAAGTGTCCAAGGTTACTACTTTGTGGAACACTTGGGTGTGGTGGTGCACACCTGTGATGTCAGCACTCAGGAGGCTGAGGCATGAGGATTGCTGTGAGTTCTAGGCCAGCCTGGACTACATATACATAGTTCAAGACCTGATTGAACTGCATAGTGAGACTGTGTCTCAAAAAAAAAAAAGATTTTGGTGCTTTCAGAGGTCATTAGGAAAGAATACTTTGGGGAAAAGATGATCAAGTTTTTTTGTTTTTTCTCCCTTTTTTTTCTTGACATACTCAATCTTATCATGAGTGACAACTGAAATTCACTCATGTATCTATTAAATGGTTATATGTTCAGGTATTTTGTAATCAGGTTGAAGTCATTTTTTTAAATCTATTTAAGGACAGAAAACTTGGGAGGGATAACTCCTCCTTCACAGCATGCCTGTTTGTGTTGTTTTGTATATGTGTGGAGAAGAAAAGGGTACTAAAGGAATTGGTAGGCCCACAAAAGCCCTAAAGGAGGATGGGCTGATTACTGTAACCCGTATAGGTTGATGTTGTGATTACCATAATTCTGGAACAGCATCTGGATCATTTCTATGAGGGGTTATAATTAAATCGTAGTACCTTAATCTACTATATACGTACACATATATGTATCTATCTATATATATATCTATATTCAGCTCAAAGATCTAAAAATTTAATGAGTGAATTGATCATTCCCATTTTGTTACCTAAAACTAATTATCTTTACTACTAGTCAGGTAACTGTTTTAGGGAAGAAGTTTGCCATATGATAAATATTAGAGGCTGTAGTTTATCCATGTTCCTTCTCAGTATCAAATGTGAAACTCAACTGATTTAAGACATTACTAGAAGAATCAATAATAATGTGTTTTTACCTTTCATTGTTTTTGATGTCTGTGGTTAATATAGGGAGATACAGAGGTGGGTAGGATCACTTTCTCTTTTTTCCCTTCTTGTTGAACAGTTCTTCTCAAAATTTATTTTAATTTTTGGAAAGTTACTTTGAATTATGTGTCTATTTAAAAAAATAACATAACTGGAAACAAATATAAGTCAGCCAAATGGTGTACATTTGATAATTACCACAATAGGGAGTACATTTAAATTATATTTTAAATCATGCATTTAAACATATATTCTATCAAACAGTCTGTCAGTGTGAATAATTTTAGATTTGTATCATGGATTGTGGTTTTAGCGCTACAGTAATTACAGGTTGGGCACATCACTTGTCAAACAGAAGAGACGATTTTCAGATTTATTTTTTAGAAATAATGAAGTTTGCATTTCAGAAAACAGTGTTGAGGGAAAATACACACTTTGTCTAGGATCTTAAGTTACGAAGTTTAGAAGAGCTGACTAAACTCTCACATCAACTTTATGTGGAAGGAAAGCTTTTGAATGACTGGTACTGTTTGAGCCCTGGGAACTAATGCAGGCATCTGTGTGCTTTTGCATGTATGGAGTTCTTTGTGTAATCAGCCTGTTGAGTCTAAACTGAAGGAAGATTTTCATTTCTTTCTCTAAATTTGGCCTCTACTATAGTAGTCTGAGTTTTTTCCCTATGATTAATAATGACTGGCAGTGTAGAATTTAGACTAAGGAACAAGAAAATGCATGTATAAAAATTGTTCCAGAAATGAGTAACTTACAGTTACAGAGAGCATCGTTCTTATGTTATAGTAGTAAAAGTAATTCCTTTGTGGCAACTCCTAAGTTCCTCAGTCTGATCCCACAATTACTGTATATTTACCTATCTTGGTTCCTATCTATTGAGAATCTGTTTCAAATACAAATCTCTAGGTAGTTTGAGGTGTTTTTTGTTGGTTTGTTAAGGATCCTTTCCTATTCTACATCATTTTAGGTACTCTAATAAATCAGAACTCAGTGATAAGTTTGAATTTATACTGAATTCAGCTCTTAATGATAATTTTTTGGTGGGGGGAGGGTACGGGCATCTAACTTGGGATCTTTTGCCTTCAAGGCAGGGGGTGGCACCATTGAGGTAAATCCCCAACCGATAGATAGATAGATAGATAGATAGATAGATAGGTAGATAGATAGATAGATATTTTAAAGATACATTTTTATCATTGTTAAGTATAATATTAATAACATTGAAAGATCTGCTTTTATAGGGTGTTTTTTTTTTCCTACCAAGGAGCGAACTCAGGATCTTGTGCTTGCCAGGCAGGCGGCGGCACCACTGAGTTAAGTCCCCAGTTATTATTACCATAACTTGAGTGTGTTTAAAAGTATTTTCTACACTGGTATATTTCAGATAACTAAAATAATTTGTGTCACATAATAGTTGTTCAGTAAATATTTGTTGACAGATTGTGACTGAACTTTATGCTTACTATAATTCTATTACTTTTCCTTATTAGGGGAGAATCCCCCAACCCCTTCCCAAACCATTGCCTTCCTTTGTAGTCAGGCTGGCCTGGAGCTCCTTGTGTAGCAAAGACTGCCTTTGAAGCTTGAGATCCTCTTGCCTAAGCTGTCTGAGTGTTGGCATTACAGCTATGCACCACCACACCCAGCTTTAGGTGAAAAAGCATTTTATAAGTGTATGTAAATTTTAGCATTGTCTCTTGTGAATTTCAGATCAGGATAGCATTTATTATAAATGTCTATTTAAAACATAATTAAGATTTACTAAGATCATATTTTATAAAAATATAGTCACTAGAGATTGTTGTATATACCTAGCTTTATTATTTACTAGTATGCTTCATTTTTTCTTTTTGGACCTGAATTTCCTTAACATGATAGGGTCCTTTGAGGTTTTTTTAAAAGCTGAATGTGTGTATGTATGTGCATGCGTGGTGCTGTAGGTTGAACCCAAGGCCATGCTCTTACTAAGCACAAGTTCCTTTTAGTTTTGACATTAAGTTTAAAAAATGAGACCTGTGAGGAAAGTACTCTTAAGTAACACTTTTCTCCTCTCCCTACAGTACTGGGGATTGAACTCAGGGAGCACTGAGCTACATCACCAGCCCCTTTTATTTTTTATTTTGTGATAGGGTCTTGCCAGGTTGTCCAGGCAGGCCTTGAACTTGTGATCCTCCTA